TTTGAACATTAAAGCATGGAGACATGTCACAGTAGAGGCACGAGATTAAAACAAGAACCTGAAAATGAGCATAATAGGGCGGGCCCCTTTAAGAACCCTCCCAGCTCTGTGTATAATTATGAATACCAAAACATATATAAATGTCTGTGAGCACATACGATCCAAATCATATGTAAACGGTGCAGGTTGTTACTTAAAGTTGGTGAAGTTTCAACACACAGTGACGCCCTTGGACCCTGCAGATAAATCCCGAGAACGCCAACTCATCTCCTGCACCTATTTCTGGCTTCTACAATCAAAGAACATGAGACTATAATTTCTTCAGCTCAGACTCCTTTGTACGACCACTGTTTTTGGTGTATCGATGAGAGACAGCTGTCAGCCCAGCCTCCAGCAAACATGTCTTCCATTTAGTGGGAATCAGGCGCTCCTCTCTCATGAATCTGCTGCTGTCAGAGATCCTCCACGTCCTCCGCTCCCAAACACCGGCGAACACTGATGGAGCTGCTTTCACACTCATGTCCCGGGGTAAGTGCCTCTCTCTCTCTCGCACATATATGACTACGCGGTGGAGCGAACTGACACCCAGCCTCCATTTCACCTTCAGACACTACAACCACCCACAGCCACAGCCACAACAAAGACATGAGTGGTACTCCTACAGCACTGTTTGTGTTTTTCATATCTCCACTGTAGTGCTTTTTTTCACTTCTTTTAAAAATCACGAGGGCGGAAAGAAAAACTTAAGCTTTTTGTGTTTTGGTGGTTTATACCCTCTTGGCACCACATGCAGCATTATTAGCTCTGCGGACATCTCTCTGAATCAGACACCTCCCACACATGATACATCATATTATCAATACACACACACACATAGAGAAAGTGATACTTCTCTCAGTAGAATCACAGCAAGCCATCCTCAACATTTAACTTCATCAATCTTTCATCAGCCTCATGCCTCAATGAAGAACTAGCGTTACATTAGGGCCGCACAGTTACCGCATTCAATTGCACATTTTCGAGCAAGCACAAAGTTCAGAACTATTATAGCAAACCTCTTCAACTTATTCTGCAATTATTAATGACAGATGTTTTATGGATGACCACAAAATTGGACCCAAAGAATGTACTGAATGTATGAGAAGGAAGCGGCTGCATATTTGATGCTTTTGTGAAATGTAAAGCAAAAAAGCTCATTAGTAAAGCAGAATAAGAAGAGCTGGGATTTATGGAAATCCTACCTAAAGTATAAGCTTAGCGCCAACTCTCATATTACTTTTTAAATCTTTATGCATTGCTTACATTTAGTCTAGGATTTCAATGTCACCACTGGATTAAGTGACAGTTTGAAAACATGGGAAGTTTAATATGAGTCTATTTATTTGAAGGAAAACTAAAATACTATATTTTAAAGAATATTATGCGACTTTACATGTTTTTCAGAATAATGCAACATTTTGCAACAGCTTCTTCCATGTGGATTTACACAGAGATCCATATAAAACGGAATATATTATCAATGCAGTGAATGTGATCATTGTTGATGATGTAACGTTTGGTAATGCAACTGTTACTGCACTGAAAAACATTCATATTGTTTTAATGCAGTGGTTCCCAACATAGGGGTTTGGGCCCCCACACAGTCACAAGAGAAACCTAAAAGGGTCCCAGGGTGATAAACAGACTAAGAAAACAGAAAATACAAATCAAATTATGTTTATCTAGTCAGAATTTCCTTCATTCTTTGCTTATTTTCTATCCATATAATGCAAACAACATCACACTTTGATTAAACTGGACCACTAAAAATTAGTTGCAATAAGACACACATTTCTAACCGCAGCTTATCAAACATTATTCAATCAACATGACATTTTACAAGGTTGCTTCTTCTCTCTGCGTTCAGGCCTCATTGTTGAAAAAATATTGAATTGTGAGGGGACTTTAATATTTTACAGGATAAAATACTTTTTGTGGCAAAGCCAAGGCAACATGCTCCTCACTGCAGACCTTGCTAAAAGTGTGAACTTCGGATGTGTTTATAAAAAATGTAAATGTACACTGCAATCGGTTGCAAACTGTTTCTCAATCATTTGTATTTTTCGTCATATTCTACTATATTTCTCTACAGATGCTCTCAGAGTGGTGTCCCTTTTTGTCTTCAGGAGATCAAGAATTGTTGAATATTCCGATTATTTAATTCGTCATGTAAGAAACATTTCCTTCGATGTTAAAGTCAACTACACTTGTACGAGTACGTGATTCTACATCGATCAATGAATATCTAAGGTTGATTATATTGATGTTGCTTGTATGGTTTAACAGCGCAGAGTTAGCATTGTGCAGTAACAAACACTTTTTTGTACATATTTTATTATGTCTGGCTTTCGATTTGATCATGTACTGTTGGTGTAACATTATGAATGTGAGACTTTCTCTTATTTAATTAGTTTTTTGTTTTTATTGTAGATGGTCAGAAATATGGTGTAAACTGTCTTTTATGTGGATCCTAAGAATAAAGTCAAAAGTACCTACCCATAAAACACTTTGTCAAATGTGTTACACGGGACATGTTAAAGGTCACATAAATCTGTGTTCCCCCTGTTTTAAGAGATTCTGAAAAAGATTCTCTCTTTTTGTCCTAATCCATTTTATAAAAATCCGTCTGAAAATGAGCTAATCAGTTTTTGGTTGTGCAACCATTAGCCAATACCCAATCAAGGTATCACCCGTCCACCTTATCACCTGAATCTCCTCCTAGAGCACCATTGTTTCAATCATCTCTCAGAGGGGCGTGGTCAGCAGCAGCTCATTAGCATTTAAAGAGACCTATAATATATTGTTGAAAAAGAGTATAATAGGGGACCTTTAAAACCTTATATTATAGTTTGTATACACATGTCAGCCCAATTGGGAATCTTATAGTAACCTGTGTGTTTTGTATATATTGGATTTACTTCCTCGTTGTTGCACTGCTGCATATGCTAATCCAACCATTTTTCCTTTTTCTTGTGACATCAAAATCCAGTTTTTAAAAATGTATGGAGCTGTTTCCCCGTCTTTTTTTTCACAATTTCACTTAATAAAGATGTCCAAATAGAGAAATGAACACATTTTTACCGAGCCAAATATTTAATTGTGTGCATATTTATTTATATTGATCTATTTTATATCTTATATTTTGTATCATAGCATTATACTTTATACTTTTTATCCTCAGCTAAGCATCTGCAGGGTTGCTCCAAAGACATGTAATTGCACAGTGACATTATCTTATCTAAAAAGGATATATTTCACATTTCATTTGTTAAACAGTTTATCCAAATGTATCCATTTTCAACACCCTATTAGACTTCTTATGGACAAACTGTGATAAAACGTCAAGTAAAAGTCATGCATTTAAAATCTCACCTGTGAACCAAATATGACCTAAAACATATATATGAAGTGAAAAGTGAAACATGTACAACTACCTCAAAGTTGTATGTATAATAAATGTACTTGCTTTCCACCACTGCTGAGACCAACATTTACAAATGAATGAAAGCTGAATGTACTAAACATGTCTTTATTCATGATCATGAGCCTTTCATAAGATGAGGAAACATCAAATGATTTCAAGATACAACTAAATAACATAAAATTATGTGTTTAAAAAGAAGCATTAGGTTTTTTAATCCATGTTGTACATTCATCTGGAAATCTTTTTAGTGCAGATGTCTGAATCCACTACCATCAGTCACTTTGCTAAGGCACCGCACTAGCAGCTGACTTCATAAAACCAGCAATTAATCTGCAGCAGAGTAGCCGGGGGCGTCGCGGGGATGTGTAAACCAAACTACCTCTTAACAGGCCAGGATGAATTGTCCTTTGGCTGACTGCTGGATTGATTTCCACTGGAGGTAATGTTTCCCGAGATGCCTGGCGCGCAGGGCTCAGGGAAGATGCAAAGCTGGGCCGCTCTGAAAATATTCCTAAATATTCCTCTGGCTGATAAAATGCTTGATGACCAAATAGGTGTAGGGTGTATGATTACAGATACACGGAGAGATGTAAGGGCTCAGCAGGTTGGAGCTGCATGCACACAGAGATAGATTAATACAGGCTGGCCGCTGGCGTGACAAACTGTGCTTCAAAGTGCAGATTTTCCTGCTGTTTGTCTTGAATCAGCTGTGTGATTCATTACACTCTCCTGTGAACATTTTGCATTATTTGGTAAACATCTCTCCGGAGAATCAGGTGCATGCTGCGAATGGAGAGAAAACCGATCACCTGGAGCACTTTCCACATGCTGACATGACACTCTTAACACCCAATTCTGCCTTTGCATCTGGCTCTGATTCAGCCACATGACAGAAATTCTCATTTGCATCCTGGATCAGAAACATGCAACAGGCTCCAGCAGTGCACACACACGCTGTGTTCTGCAAAATGTAATCGGGGGGATTCATCTATCCTGCAAATACCTCAATGAATTCACTATTAGCTCAGTTTTTAAAAAGTCGAGTCACTTTTCTTGTTCTTTCCACTAAAGGGCAGAGTCACTGACATTGGAGCTCCTGGGAACATAATTACCCCTTTGGATAAATGCAGGTTTTGCTTCCATTGTTGGTTACAATTCAAATCACACCTCTAATATATATTCTGTGACAATGTGGCAGCTTAAAAATGACTATTAATCACCTGTTTCAAACTTAGCAGGAGATTCAAGCCCACACAAAAAAAACAAATGCAAGAAATCTGCTTCCAATTTCCAAAAATCAGTGGCTCCACTTTTGGATTGATCGATTCTATATTTTTTACAAGATACTTAACTGGCCAATAGATTTTTTTTTTTTTACAGAGCAGGTTGTTGAGCCAGAGGGATGGAGAGTGTGTGTGGGTTGGCTCTCTGATGAAGCCTTGAAATGTAGTGGCTGGAGGACTGTAATGGTGCATCCAATTTGTTTGCGTAAAAGCTATAAAGCTACGTGTCAAAGCTTAAAGTTGATCATAGTTACCGGACACCGGCGTTTCTGGGACCCATTTGGAGCTCGGATGCAGAGACTGGAACACGGTGCGCACCTCCTGGCAGCTCGGCACCTGTCCTCCGGGCAGGGGGAACAGCTGGAGGAAGGCGCACAGAAAGAGTGCACTGTGCACTGATGGAGCAGCCATGGCAGGCACTTAAAAGCGAACAGAAATAAGACAGAAACCACGAAACTTCAACACATTAAAAGTTACACGAGCATCCCGGGTTTGCGCTGAAGAGAGGAAGCTGCTGCTCCAGGATCAGCATCCTCATGATTTGTTCGTGTCCGTCCGCTCAGAAATGTGCTCTGATAACTTGAGTCCCTCTTCACTCACGCCAATGACTCTCACCTCGCTGCACAGATGAATACAAGTGCGCGCTCCCTCTCCAAAAGCGCGCGTCACACAGCGTAAACCTGCGCCTATAGGTCTTCTCTCCCCCTCTCAAGCGTGATAGTAGTGATGCGAGCTGGCTGTGTGTGGATGCAGGAGTGGATAGGAGGGGGGTGATGCGGTGCACGAGCTGTCGTCGTGTTAGATGAATGGCAGTGTGTGTTATGGGATGCAATTGGGACACCGTCCCTGAGGCGCGTAATGTGCCCAGGAGATGCGCATACATTAAAATGAAAAATGACACATAAGCGTGGGATATGGTATGGAAATAAGCTTTTATTTTTGCAAAAACATGGGGAACGTGTACAGAAAACATGTGGGATGACACAATTAACAGCATCTACTTACTTCTAATAATTACACACATTTAATTGAATACCTATAGTGATTATTCTTCATCTTGAGTGGACAGTCTTTTGCATCAAGAGTCAATAAAGTCGAAATGGTGCCACCTAGTGTTCAGTTTGACAATATCTGTTGCTCTTACTCTGAAGATTGATAATAAAAAGTCCATAAAGCCAGAAAAAAAAAGCACATACAACTTTTTATGTTTCGCCAAATGAGTACAATCTAAAAACACGTGTAGCTGTTCACAACATCTGGCGGCTTGCAGATGGATACTGTGCAATTTCTTTTATTTTTTCGAGTATTGAAATTGTGAAGTCATCCACCCGAAAACAGCGAGACAAGCAGCAATGTCAAAGAAGCTTGATGTTAAGACGCCTGGAGAGCATAACACGTCAGCAACAATGGGGGAGAAACAAACAGCAGCTGTTTTGTGCCTTACAGACTCTTTCAAGTGTTCATCAAAGCTTGGAATAAAGAAAAATAGCTCTTCTTTTGGCTGAGATTTTGAGAAACAGAGAGCTTTGCATGGATTTGCACAGCAGAGACTGGCAACATCTGAGAGCAAACCAACAAAACTGGCTGTAAACCCACATGGTTCCAGGTGTAAACAGGCTGACGCGTGAGGGAAGGTGACCGGCAGTACCGGAAGTGCACAAACTGCAGTAGGTCAGTGAGTACTACCTGCACTGTGAGCACTTTGGGACTACCAGGTCCACAACTAGGCAGAAAGTCATACACATTTTCGACACTTGCACAACAATTTTTGATATTTCAACTAGCCTTTAAGCAATACATCGTTATTGAACACTTTAAGACTCTGCTTCTGTCTGACCATAATCAGTGAAGTTTTGTTTGGCTAGAAACTGCCAAAAAGCCAATAAAATAGACATATTTTCCCCTTGTTGGTATTTAGGCAATGCATTGTTTTTAAACTTTTACTATTATCAGTACTACTTAACTATTTCATTATTTTTTTTTAAGCTTTAAACCGTGATTCTGCTTCTGTCTGACCTTTAGCAGTGATGGTTTAGTTGGGTTCAAACTGCCAAAAAAAGGATACAATGAGAAAGTAACTTCAATTGACAGAACTAAAACATGTTAGTGTTATGTAAGTAAAGACACAAAGCATTCCATCCCAGAGAACAATTTGGTGTCAAAGATAATATAGAAATGTCACCGAAAAGTAGTCTGAAGGGAACGATGGTATAATAAAACTATTATATTTCTGCTTGCCTTTACCAATAAGCAATGTATTGTTTTATTTGTTTAGAATATATGCCTTTCTATGACCATTATAACAGAATATTTATTTGGATTAAAACTTGCATGATAGCAACAAGTTCACCCAACAAAATCAACATACAAGTGTTTTGTAAAAGTGTAGACACATAGAGCCCGGAGATGAATCTGTTTTCAGAGCGTGAAGAGAGATCCTGGAGAACAACAAGCCCTCCAGCCAGAAGGAGCAACTAGGGCAGTAGATTCTGAATTATTTCACTAACTACACTAGATGCACCTTAGCTGGAGGACCATAGGAAGAGGGAGGATCGATTGACATCCAACACCTCCAGGCAGGATGACGCAGCACCACCTGAAAACAGAAAGAAAATCAATTTATAGAGACAACTGTAGACAAATATTGAACAGATCACAATGTTTGGAAAAAGAATACATGTCTTTTAGGCAGTCATCATCATGTATGTATTAGAAGGTAAACTGTTTCCAAGCATGACAAACCTTTAAAATCCATTCAAAAACGTTTGCATGCCAGAAGTTATTTGAAAATAAAACACACTCTGGTTTCAAAGTGCACATATGTGGTAATCTAATAATATTATTGTTGCTTTCCAAATCTGCTAAATTAAAAATAAAAATAATAAAATGTTAGATGCAATTGAAGAAACGTTATATATTCAGTCTGTAAATTAGTTAAATAAAGTACAAAGTAACTGGAAACAGTCAGTAGGCTACCTGAACATTGCAGCCTATATATTAGTACTGGACTATACGTATTAGGTTATAATTATTTAAATGTCCAACATTGAAAGGTGACATTATACTTTAATAAGATTGTGGAACATTATTGGAAATTATAATTCCTTTTAAAATCTATACGTCTATCACGTGGTCCACTGTGTTCAGGATAAAAACACTGATTTCCTGCTTGGTACAAACAAAGCACACACGTGGGGGGAGTTTAAACTTAGAAATGCACTCTAATTAATACAAATAGGAGCCTAAAAAGTAAAAATATCTTCCCATTTCTCTCCTATGAGCTATTATCTCCAACTGATGACAATATTAGTGAGCTCTGATGAGTTTCTAACTGTGTTCGCCTCGGTGTGCAGCTTTAACAAAGTGGCGCCAACAGCGTCTCGTGATGCCATGATGAGCGTCAATTAAAGAATGATCGCAATCATATCTGCGCACATGTAATCACTTACGTAACGCAATCAACCATCAGCAGCTGGTAAACAGCGGGTGTGAGGATTTGTAACCCTTTGCGGATGATTAAAAATAGGGTTTAATGAGCCCAATGGGCCAGTAAAAACAAACAAAGACGTGTGCAAATCAACTTTTTAATAAAGTTATTGTGACTCATGGATATTAAAGTTTGAGCTTTTACATGAATCTTAACATGGATTAAGATTGGTGCACAATACGTGGAAAGGCTGCGTAATTGTCTTTAACGAATAAGCATTAGGAGAAGTAACCCAAAACAAAAACACATTTCACAATATGCGAACTTTTTCTTGAAAACAAAAACTTATGAAGCATTAAAAGCGACCACGTGTGTTAATGTGTTGTAAATAAAACATGGGTAGCAGCACAAAGCCTACCTTTGACTTGCATGGATCCACTTCTTCCCATCCTGCAGACCTCTCCAACATCTCTCCGTACCTTGGTCCGCAGATGTTACCCTCTGCAGCCCTCTTTGCACAAACAAAAAGTTCTTTCATGCATGAAATTGTGAGAGCATCTTTTTTGTTGTTTTCCTCCTCTTTGTGGGGGTGGGGAGCGAGAGAGGGGGAGCAGGCAGATCTTTACGGATGTCGTCTTTTCTGAATCCTCTCTCTCTCTCTCTCTCTCTCTCTCTCTCTCTCTCTCTCTCTCTCTCTCTCTCTCTCTCTCTCTCTCTCTCTCTCTCT